AGTAAATGCTCTGTTTATAATAAACAGTATTAAATAACATTTACCGGCCTGAATGTCCGAGAAATTTTCTTTGACAGGATTCGAACCCGCATCTTATACGGAACCGTCATTTACGCTGACGTGCCTTACCGTCTCGGCCACAAAGGTCGAATTTACTGCTTATAAACTTCAATCTTCCATGAATCTCGTACATTCATAACTGCTCTGGCGTATCAAATGTAAACAAATGACGTCATATATTAAGAAATGGACAAAGTCCGACAATTTATTTATTAAAAACGTTTTTATGTTTAACGTTCTTTTTTATGTCTTTAAGAAATAAATTGTCCATTTCTTAATATATGACATCATTTGTTTACATTTGATACGCCAGAGCAGTTATGAATGTACGAGATTCATAGAAGATTGAAGTTTATAAGCAGTAAATTCGACCTTGCCTACTGAACGCTCCTTTGTGGCCGATCGGTAAGGCACGTCAGCGTAAATGACGGTTCCGTATAGGATGCAGGTTCGAATCCTGTCAAAGGACGAATATTTTCTATGAAAATTTCTCGGACATTCAGGCCGGTAAATGGTATTTAATACTGTTTATTATAAACAGAGCATTTACTTAAATACTTGTATCTATAAAAAAGAATGTTAAACATAAAAATGTATATATATATCAATATAAATAGATGCATACATACCTATATACATCCGCAGGTAGATAGAGGCTCGTGAGATCAATTGCAACTGAATGGTGAGTTCGACCCTCATCTGATACTCCATACTTTTGGCCTTTCGTAACATAGTAGCTACTCTTAGAAAATCACGATACTTAGGCAGATATTGAAATAATGCGATTGAAATAGCATGAAAATTGGTAGAAGTGTGTGTGTGTGTGTGTATATATATATATATATATATATATACATATATAGTATGTGACAAACCTACCTAGGTTTTCATTTAAACGGATCGTCAGGGAAAGTTTCCTGACGATCCGTTTAGGTGAAACCTAGGTAGGTTTGTCTGGCTCACTAGGTGTATCTAGGTCTGCTCTACGGTTGTATTGAGCTCTTTTGTTAGTTGTTTACTCGTATCGGGGTTTTTTCATTGGGCTTCAGACCTGTATCTGTGCGATTTTTTTGTCGGCAGAAGTTCATGTTTGTAGCTCTTTCTTTTTTTAAAACCTTTTTTCCTCGAGATTGATTTGATTAGCAAATCAAAACTTCGAGTTTTTTTTTATATATATATATATATATATATATATATATATATATATATATATATATATATATATATATATATATATATAAATGATTAAAGAGAAAATGAAAACTTATCTTATGCGTCGCGTTTCGTTCTCTGACAGAGTTTATCATGGCAACTACATTTATTTTCTAGCAATTATTTATATACAAGAGCAAAGATGTTATTGGTTTTTAAGTTTAGGAACGCTTAAATATATTCCTCAGGTTACCTGACGAAACGCATCAATATGCTTTGGGTATATTTGTTCCTTTTAGGATTATTCCTATTTTCCTTTTACAAGTATACTCTATCTGAAATTTTTACAGATAGATAGATAGATAGATAGATAGATAGATAGATAGATAATGAAGATTTATTCTGCAGAGAGGAAATGTAGATAATAAATTGATCGATAATTCGACCATCATAGAGATATAGTCATTGAACTGGATATAGAAACTTGCCAAATCAATCGATCACTTTTTAAAATCATTCAGAGCTTCGTTAATTTCAGTAAATATCAAAAGCTTTTGTGTTCGAAATAACGCACCAAAGACTATGCATCGAGTTAAGTTCTTTGCTCACTAACGTCTATGTGGGTCACGTAATGCCAAATATCATCTGTTGTATTATCTGCTGAATATGTTCACATAGAATATCAGAGGATCTTTTAACCGTTACTGAACACCTGGTAACAATGGAGACTTACTATTGGATAATCTACGGTGGGCTTTACATTGTTTCTCACATGAAAGTACAGAGAGAAAATGGAACAGGAAGATCCTATATGTGAAAGAAGAAATGTCGGTAAAGAAACACGCAAAAATACGAGGCCGAAGGAAAGTGAAACGAAAGATTTGGATTAAAGTGATGGATACTTCAATGAATTTAGTGAAGGAAAAAAATATTCTGATTGTTTTTTTTTTTTGTCAAGGCCAAAAGTCGATTCGAGAAAAAAAAAAAAAAAAAAGGCAGTCGAATAAAAAAATAATTGAAAAAAAAAAAAAAATAATCAGAATATTTTTTCCTTCACTAAATTCATTGAAGTATCCATCACTTTAAGCCAGATCTTCCCGGCACCAGCCCACCCGAACCTGGGCCTGCTCGAACCTGGGCCCGCCCGATCTTTAATCAACCAACCAGCCCGGCAGCCAAAGATCCGACGTACCGGCTAGCCAACCAACCAGCCATTTTGCGCTGCATGTATCGGGTCGATTTTGACGCGTAAAAAGAAGAAAATCCATTAAAATATTTTTTCCCGCTTTTGCGTTTCTCGGGGTAAGTTCAGTGGAACTTCATAATTGAAACGCATTTTTTTTTCGGACTTGAATATTGATCATTGTTAATAGTAGTATTACTATTATTATTATTGCAATATGATCTTTATTATGGCTCATATTAACTCATATCATCACCGTTAATAATAATATAAATGCAATATAGCATTCTTCTTCTTCTTCTTCTTCTTCTTCTTCTTCTTCTTCTTCTTCTCACGCTTCTTCTTATTTGTTGTCTCCTTCACTTTCTTCTCATGACATTCTTCTTCTCCCTCCTCTTCTCATCAACCACCACTACCACCACCACCACCACCTTATTCTTCTTCTTCTTCTTCTTCTTCTTCTTCTTCTTTGTTGTCTCCTTCACTTTCTTCTCATGACATTCTTCTTCTCCGTCCTATTCTCATCCACCACCGCCACCACCATCTTCTTCTTCTTCTTCTTCTTCTTCTTCTTCTTCTTCTTCTTCTTCTTCTTCTTCTTCCCCCCCCTTCTTCCTTTTTCGTACAACTCTTCTTCTTCTTCTTCTTCTTCTTCTGTTCTCTTTCTCCTCCTTCTCCTCTCTTCCCCCTCCTTCTTCTTTTTTCGTACAACTCTTCTTCTTCTTCTTCTTCTTCTTCTTCTTCTTCTTCTTCTTCTTCCCTTCTACTCCTGTTCTCTTTCTTCTCCTTCTCTTCTCTTCCCCCTCCTTCTTTCTTTTTCGTACAACTCTTCTTCTTCTTCTTCTTCTTGATACTTCCCTCCTCCTCTTTCTTCTTTTCTTTCTTTTTCTTATAGGTATCAAATTATATCTCTTCTTTTCATATATATCGGAAAATCCCTTTGAAATCTACTTCTATGTGCCGTGTCCCTTCAGGACGTTCACGATCATGGCTCTCCACAATTACTTTTCTTTTGTAGCTCTTAATACTTTTTTTTTCTTTTTGCTATCTCTCTTTGATTTTGCTCCGTCATCCATTTAAACAAGTTAATTGTAACTTTAATTCACATTAGAACTGTTATTATATTTACTCTTACAACTACTAATCAGTGCAAGTGTCCCGTACATCGTCGAATTCTATACTACGCCCCCCCCACTCTACTACATTTCTATTTTCATGAGGTAGGATTCGTATAGAATGCAAGTTTTATCGTAACCTAATTATATACAATAATGGATCATATGCAATATAGGTGAACATCTCATCTAGAAAAATTGAATATAAATCCAATGTATCTAAATACAAATTAGAGACATGTCGTAATGAATTCTTACATCTTAAATAAGTCAACAATGTCTTGCGGCACTTTTTAACATCAACTTGAGATTTTTCTTGTTAAAAAGTTGAATAATTTTAACACATTCAAAATTATGGATAATAAAAATAGCGCATTTTAAATAGGTTTTTTTTTTTTTTTAAACTTAGCATGAACAAAACAAATTTACGGATTAGGACGAAAACTGACCACGAAATGACGTCAAAATCCGCGAAAAATTGTTCATCCTTTAATAGTCAGTTGTACTTAGTTTAATTTGTAACATATTTAAATGTAGGTAAAAAAAGGAAATGTTGATAAGATAGAGAGTAACAGAAAGCACTGGCCAGGAACCCCTCTCAGGTTGCTGCACCTTAAGGGTTCGTGGGAAGTACGCACCGGCCCTGCTACTACTACTAATAATTAACTCTGCTATTATTATTAGTGTAGGAGAAATGAATTATTATTATTATTATTATTATTATTATTATTATTATTATTTCCTTTGATTTTTGGTGTATACTCATTTCTTTTCGAGACTCAACCAGAGACCTAAGGTCAGAAATGGCATCATGACATTTTCCATTGAACATTTTTTGAAAGAAAAAAATATTATTATTATTATTATTATTATTATTATTATGTTTGGTACAATCGTTTATCAAGTTTTTACCTGAGACCCGGCGTAAAAGAAGACTTTTTTGCCCCCAAAAATGTTATTAAGCATACATTGTGTAAGGTTGTCTGAGTATATGAGAGGTCCTCAGGAGTAGAATCTTTGGTATCTCAGACAATAAAGAATTTCCTCGGAGTTTTGTTATGGGTGCATCAGTATGCTATTTAATTCCACCTTATGTTCTTAATAATATTATTATTATTGCATTAGTGGTTTTGTTTAAACATCTTACGTCTGCAATTTCTGTTTCCACAGCCTTACATTTTGAAAGTTTGTCAAATTCTTTTACTGAGATCTGTCTTAACAGACGGGATGGCCTTGTCTGGGGGAAGAGCATATTATTTTTAACTGTTTTATTATTATAACCGGTGGACTGGCTTGGATCGTGAGATCGGTATATGACGAAATCCCAGAGCACGATACCATTTCCACCTTCTGTCATTAGTAGTTTATTATTATTATTATTATTAACATAATTCTTCTCTACATGGTATCAGTGACTTCACTAACTGCATATGCTTGCTTCGTCTCTCATCTTTTTCTGCTAGCACTAAAAATCTTTTGGCCCTGACTGTTACGCATGCTTCTTTCCTCCCCCCCTCTTCGTTCTGCTCACCTACTCTCCCTTCTTCTTCATTCTCCCCCACCCCCGCTGGCAACTGCACCACACCCTTTCAGATAGCGATTCCATTAAAATCGTTCACTTCTCCGGTAGAAGGCGCGCGGCTTCCGTTTGTTCGTACGATTTGTTCGACTCACTCTCTCTCTCTCTGTTTTTGCCTCTCTCTTTTTCGTCCTTGTTCTCGTTCGCGCATGCTTGTTCGGTCTCTCTTGCACAGTACAGGCAGACCTAATTTACATCAGCGGTGACGTCACTAATCTTTTATTTATTTATTTGATTTTTATTTGGTTTTTATTTTGTGCAATATTGGTTGGGTTGTAGGGCAATGGCGGCCAGATCCAGATAGGGAGTAGTGAAATTGGAAAGAGAACGGTGCAACATTGAGAGAAGGGTAGCAAGGAAGGCAGTGAGAGAAAGGTTATGAAGATTAATATAAGTAAAAAAAAAAAAAAGAAGGAAGAAAATGAAGAAAAAGAAAAAAGAAAATAATAAAGAAACAATGAGAGAGAGAGTTTATAGTGAAGAGGGTGATAAAGATGATAAATTGGCTCGGAAGCGAAGAAAGAGATGAAAAGTAAAGGAAATGTCGAATAGAAAAAGAGAGAGAGGCGAGAAGGAAGAGTGGGGAAATTCACGGAGGATGAAAGAGAAGAAATACAAGAGATCCAAAGATAAGAAAAGAGGAGAAAAGAAAAGAGGAGATTAAGGAAGGAAGGAAGGAAGAAAACAGGGAGGAAGCACAAAATACTGGAAGAGTGACGGGAGGAGGAAAGAGAAAAAGAGGAAAAAGAAAACGGATTGAGAAAGAGAGAAATAGTGAAAGAATGATTGGCTGATGGGGTCAAGACGAAGATATGGTTATTAGGAGGAAAGAAAGTAGTGTGCCCCCTCCAAAAAAAGGAATTCTAAAATAGAACTATGTCGAAGAAAAGGTGAAAGGGTGCAGGCTAAAAAACATTAAAGGAAATATTAAAGAAAAAAGATTAAAGAAAAAGATTAAAGAAAGCTGGAAGAAAACTAAAGAAGAGAAGAGAGACAATGAATTCAAGGGAAAATGCCGTTGGGGAAAAAGAGAAGGCGTAAAAATAAAATTGTAAAAAAAAAATGAGGAAAATAAGAAACATAAAAGAATAAGCAACTGTACAAGTGAAGAAATAAAGAAAATATTCTTTAAAGAATTATAGAAAGAAAAAAAGACGAAAGAAGAAAGAAAAATGATAAAGACGCAAATAAAAACTGAGTGTAAAGATATCCAAAAAAGAAAAGTTATAAAATAGTTTAAGGATCAATGCAGAGAGTCGAATTAAATAAGAATAAACAGAATTATGAAAAATGAATTTTATTTTAGACATACAAAATAAAAAAAGGAAAGTGACATAAAAAAGTTCTTTTTTTTTTCGTTGTTTTTTTTTTCTTTGCTGACGAAGGAAGAATTTAAAAAAAAAACCCAATGACAAAATGAGAGGAAGGAAGAACAAAAGGTAAGAATATTTCATAGTATAAAAATATGGCGGAAGGACAGAGAGATAAGTTTTAAAACGGATGAAATTATTCGTTTAAAGAGAGAAATGGTGAATAAGAAAATGGAGAAGATTGTTGGAGATTGTAAGAAAGCAAACGAAGAGGGACATTGAACTGGGATAGGATAAAGAAAAAGAAGAAAGAGTACGAATCAAATGCCAAAATGGAAGAAGAAAGTGTTATCAATGAGTGAGAGGAAAAGAAACGAGTAAGAAGAAGAAGAAGAAGATGATGATGATGATAATGAAGAAGAAGAAAAAGAAGAAGAAGAAGAAGAAGATAGATTGAGCAATGACTTAAAGGAAGAGAGTAAAGAAAAGAACAGGGGAATTGGAAAAGTTATATATGGGAGAGAAAATAGAGGAAAGGAATGAATACAGACTGTAAAGAAGAAGAAGAAGAAGAAGAAGAAGAAGAAGAAGAAGAAGAAGAAGATAGATAGATAGATAGATAGATAGATAGATAGATAGATAGATAGATAGATTGAGCAATGACTTAAAGGAAGAGAGTAAAGAAAAGAACAGGGGAATTGGAAAAGTTATATATGGGAGAGAAAATAGAGGAAAGGAATGAATACAGACTGTAAAGAAGAAGAAGAAGAAGAAGAAGAAGAAGAAGAAGAAGAAGAAGAAGATAGATAGATAGATAGATAGATAGATAGATAGATAGATAGATTGAAAATGACTGAAGGAAAGAGTAAAGAAAAGAAAGGGGAATTGGAAAAGTTATATATGGGAGAGAAAAAAGGAAAGGAATGAATACAGACTGTAAAGAAGAAGAAGAAGAAGAAGAAGAAGAAGAAGAGATTATAGGAAGTTAAAAGACTGAAGAAATCGAGAAAGGAGAAAGAGGGAATTGGAAAATACGTAAATGAAAAAGGATATCTGTGAGCGGGGAAAAGAGTTAGAAAAACAGACATGTGTAAGAAAAATGACATGAAGGAAAGGAGAGAGGATGAAGAAGATAATGAAGAGCATAGAAAGAGGAAAAATATTTAAAGAAGAGTAATGAACAGAGGGCGAAGAGAAAACAAAGAAAGAAATACAAAAATGTATAAGAAAAAGAGACTAGAGGAGGAGGAGGAGAAGAAGAAGAAGAAGAAAACGACAAAAAGTAAAATAAGAAAAGAACTAGAAAAAGAAAAAAGAAGTAGAAGAAGAAAGAAGAAGAAAAGAAGTTGAAGAAAAAGAAGATGTTGATGAAGAAGAAAAGAAGTAGAAGAAACAGACGAAAGAAAAAGAAGAAGAAGAAAAAGAAGAAGAAGAAGAAAAGAAGGAGATAAGGAAGAAAAAGAAGTGGTAGAAGAGGATAAGTAGATGAAGAAGAAGAAAAGAAATTTAAGAAAAAGAAGATGTCGATGAAGAAGAAGAGGAGAAAATAAGAAGAAGAGGAAGAAGAAAAAAGAAGTGGTAGAAGAGGAAAAGAAGTAGATGAGGAAGAAGAAAAGAAGTTGAAGAAAAAGAAGATGTCGATGAAGAAGAAGAGGAGAAAATAATAATAAGAAGAAGAATAAAAAGAAGAAGAAGAAGAAAAAGAAAAGGAAGAACAAATATGGCAGTAAAAGATTGAGAGAAATAGAAAGTAAGCAAAAAGAAAGACTTTTAGGAAGTGTATATGTAAATAAGGAACGAGAAGCGAAGAAAAAAAGAGAATGTCTGCGAAAAAGAAAAGGAATGGTAAAAGGGAATATAATATAGCTGAGGAAAAATCTGAAAAAAAAGGGAGATATTAAAAACTGAGAGGAAAAGGTTGCGATTGTATGGTTGGCTGTCGATGGCGCAGACACTCGGGAACGCGCACACATTGAAATAGAAAATGGTGAAATATTAAGCAATAAGATAAACGAAAATAAGGGAGACAGTCCGACAGACAGACAGACGGGGGATAGTTAAGGTTGAGGGGTATGAGCAGTGGGGTGATGAGCAAAAGACAGGCATTCTTTTCCCCCACTTTATTTTAGTTTATTATTTTCAATTTTATTTTTTTCTTTCATGATTTGTGTAATTCACGTTTCCCTTGCATATCAGTCTGTCACTGTGTGTATGCTTTGATCCTAGTGTAAGTATATGTGCGTGTGAGTCTACCTGTGTATATACGTGTGCGTGTGCTCGAGAAGGGAAAAAACGTGGGTGTTGGGTGGACAGTTTTTATGATAGGACAGTAGTCGTAGAAGGACATGAAATAGAAAGAAAAAAGCGAGGAAGAAGTTATAGGAAGGAAAATAAGAAAGGAACAGAAGAAGAAGAAGAAGAAAAAGAAGAAGAAGAAGTAAAGACTGGGGAAGAAAAAGAAAAGAATGAGGATTAATAATAATAATAATAATAATAATAATAATAAGAAGAAGAAGAAGAAGAAGAAAAGATTGAGGAAGAAGAAAAGTTTGAGAAATAATAAGTAGGATATGAAGAAGAAGAAGAAAAAGAAGAAAAATAAGAGTTGAGAAGACGAAGAAGAAGAAGAAAAGGAGAGAAGATATAAGAAGTAAAGACTGCGGAAGAAGAAAAGAATGAGGATTAATAGTAATAAGAAGAAGAAGAAGAGGAAAAAGAAGAAAAAGAAGAAGAAAAAGAAGAAGAATTAGGAGAAGGAAAAGAAGAAGGAGAAGAGGAAGAAGAAGTAAAGATTGAGGTAGAAGAAGAAAAGCTTGAGGAATAATAAGAAGTAAGTGAAGAAGAAGAAGAAGAAGAAGAAGAAGAAGAAGAAGAAGAAGAAGAAGAAGAAAGAGGAAGAAAGCAAAGGAGGTGAATAACTGATGCGGAGGAGAACGACGAAGAAAAGAAGAAAGCAGGATAGATGGTGAAAAAGAAGAAATCTTAAAAAGAGTTCGAAAGAAAAAAGAAAGAAAAATGAGTAGAAAGAAAAAGAATGAGTTGGAAGAAACGAATAAAAAATGCAAACAGACAAAAATTAACAAGAAAATGCCTTGGAAAGTAAGAAAGAAAAAGAAAAAGAAAAAGGAAGGAAAGCAGAGTAAAAGATTTAAAATGACAAGGAAAAAGAAGAAAAGAAAACTGAAGGAGCATGCGTTAACTGATATATGCTTGTTTATGTGTGTGTGTATGTATTTGTGCGAGCATACATACCTACATACATACATACATACATATATATATATATATATATATATATATATATATATATATATATATATATATATATATATATATATATGGACGTATATATATTAAAAATAATAAGAAAATCCGACATAAACTAAAATGAAAGGAAGAATGCGTTAAAAAATAAATCGAAGATCCTTTAAAAACAACAAAGATAAATAAGCAAATAAACAAAGCTTACTTTCACTTTCACTTTCAGTTTCTCTTTTACCCTTCATCAATTTCTTCTTTTTTCCATTTTTTTCTCAATCCGCATTCCTTCTTCTTCCAAAAATACAAATGAAAAACTAAATAAAAGCAATGCAAAAATCCT